AATTTGCAATGCTCTTATTAATTAAAAATTAAAAGGAATACTCACCCCTAATTACCACAAATAATTTTATTTGAGCGGACACGTGTTTCGCCCACTTCATACGTGGGCATTATCAACGCGAGACTAATTTTTAATTAATATTTACCACAGTCTCCTATTTCCAACTCTTATTATTATTCACCGAAAATTAGTAGAAAACCACCGACTCATTTTTAAAAAAAGCATTTCATAAACAGTGCCTACTATTACCATTTACTAATTATCATTACTTGATTAGTTTTATCGGAAGAAGCTTATGTTTGGCCAAACATAACTCCTACAAGTCAGTAAAATTTTTAGTATTAAAAAAATAAATCTACAAATTTTTCTGGTTAATACGGGTTTACATAAAGTTAAAGTCAAATATTAATGTGAAAATTCTTTTCGATTTTGCATTCACTACAAACTACCTCATGAGGGATAATTTTTTAACAACAGCAACAAAAATTTTCCCTCATTAACCTGAGGTAGTTTGTAGTGAATGGAAAATCGAAAAGAATTTTCACATTAATTATCCATATTAACCACTATTAATAATTAAAAGTGTGAAAGCCAAAAGTATCTTGGGATTATGGTATTGGGAGGGAATTAAAAATAGAAAAAATTTACCTAATTTCTACCTCCTGGAGTTAATCTATTTTTAGGAATGGAAAGTAAACTTATTTTTATACCCAAAACCTACCGGTTTCTAGTGCCTAATTTTAAAGCACATTGTCCTTTTAGAAGACAACGCGTAACTGTTGTTATGGTATGCTTCACCATACGCAGGGTAATATTTTTAGAATGAAAGTTCTGATTTGTAATTAAACCTAACATACAAATAAAGAGATGTGATGATCATTAATACCATATATTTCCGGAAAAGAAAAGAAATAGTTTCACTTTCTATAAGATCTTCATTTTTCCTTTTAAGGGTGCTCTAAATGAAATAGAAAACGGAATGTATGCAACGATATCATTGATCTCTTCCAGAATCAATATTGTTAGGCATAGCTTATATCACACTTTCTGTAATATAGGTATGTTCGCCAATACTTTTTTGATTGGTTCATACCGACCATGGTGGTGACGTAAACACAATTTCTTAATAATATTACAGTACATGATTTTCAAAAGTTTTCGTAAAGGTGCTTTCAAAAAAAAACACTGACATCTCAATTTTCTATGAATCGACTTAAGTTTTAAATTTTTAAGCTACTTTATTGAATCTTGTTCATTTACTGACTATATAAGTACTGACTGATCGAATGAGACGTAATATTTCGATGTAGAGAATCATCGTTTCGTTAGAGAGTTAGAGAAAATACAGGAGTTTACTCATGTACTAAAATAAATAAAAGCAAAACAAAAATACTGGTATGCAAGGGAAGTAAAAATAGGGAAAGAACGAATGTAAAGGTAGGAGACGAAAAATTAGAAGAAGTGACTGATTTTAGGTATCTAGGAAGTCAGATAAATCAGGACGGAAGGAGTAGTAGGGACATAAAGCAGAGGATAGCGTAAGGTCGAGTCGACTTCAATAAAAAGAAGTCATTGGTTTTACGATTTAGAATTAAACAAAAAGTCAATAGAATTGTTAATGTTAGTTAATTTCAATTGAAACATCAGTTTCTTTACAAAATAAACGAATTTAAGTACCTAATGATCAATTAAATTCAATAGGCTTTTACTTATCGGTAAAAGCAATGATATCTAAAAATGTAACCAAACTTCCCCCGTGAAGGTGGCACAACAAAGTGGCCAAAATTAATTTCGAAAATACCAACAATCAAAGATTCAATAGTGTTGATTTAATACATGCTGTCTTCTTAATTTAATTAATTTTCTATTACTGTCGTTTTTTTAATACCCTTTAAGGTTAGTTATCTTAATACTCGAAATTTAATCTTACAGACACAAATTTAGCACCTAAAGATGTTTAAATCATAGTACGATAAGGAATAAATAAACGTGTAGGACTTGGCTTAATAATTATTTATTCATTATTGTGTTCTGATTAGGACATCTTCAACAAATTAAGGGAAGATTTGGATATCACTAGCACCTAAAATTTTAACCAGTTTGTTGTGCTAGCTTCGTTTGTCTGACATAATTTATAAATCATGTACTCTTTTAATGTTCTGCTAATTTTTATAATCTCTTCTTTGTCATGGTTCAAAATTGCTGCTGAAATGTAATTCACTGAAACGTTACCGTAAAGTGATTCGATTCATCGATAAAATGCGACAAAGTTTCTTAATCGGTTATTTCTCAAACTTATCAATAAGTGTTACAAAGTTTAATGGTTTTACGTTCTATGTACATTCATCAAGTACTGAAACATAATAAGCAGTAAAAAGAAAAAACTATAAATTACCTAATGAATGTACACGGCCACAAACGGTTTTAGTGCAACTTTTTTAGAAGATTATTTTGCGTCATTTACCCACAAGGCATCGAAGACATTTATATTTGACTGTTGTGTCACATTTTTTAATATCTTTTTTTGTAATTCTGTACACAAAATTGCAGGTTTGAAGTTACGAAATTTGATGATCATTTGATCATTAGGTAAAACACACTCCAACTAATTAATCGTGATGAGAAGAATTGGTCTTGGTTTTAGTTATGCGAAAGTGTAGGATCAAGACCAATACCGAACGAGAAAGACCAACACTAAAACCAAGACCAAATATGCAATGCTAAACGAAAAATTATTAATTCTGATGGATTTGTGAGTTAATGTTAATTTTAATATATTGTTTTCGTGAAATCAAACATTTTTTGTATTATAAGCTTTAAATTTTATTTACTAGATTTTTGGAGAGCGGCGTTGTACAGGTGCGAAACATGGATTGTGGGCGCGGCGGAAAAGAAAAGGTTAGAAGCGTTCGAAATGTGTTGTTATATGGTGAGGATAACGTGGGTAGAAAAGGTTAGAAATGAAGAGGTATTAGAAAGAATAGGAGAACAGAGGACTCTATGGAAGTCAATAAAAAATAGGCGAGATAGATTGGTAGGACATCTTCTCAGGCATGAAGTTCTAGTTAGAGATATATTAGAGACAGAAACGGGAGTTAGGAGGGGTAGAGGTAGACCTAGATTAGATTACTGCAAATAGTTTAGGATGTGGGTTGTTCTAGTTTTAGGGAAATGCGAGGTTAGCTTAGGATAGGAAAGAGTGGAGGTACGTGTCCAACCAGTCTTAGGACTGATGACCTTATGATGATGATGATGCAGGTTAAAATTAAAATTTGAGTGATTATGTATCATTAAAAAATCATTAAAAAAACATAAAATTATTAACAGAGGGTGTGAGTTCGTACTATCTTATAAGTACATCGGAGAAATGAGCGGAAAAAAATATGATCCATATTGATTTTACTCAATTCTACTAACCCAACCCTACCTAACCCAACCTAACCTGGCCTAAGTAACAATAAACAGTCATACGTCATATACCATAGCTTACATTGCTTCTTTCTTTGATTTGTACCTACAGACTGTGTTGGTGAGGCACAATTGCACCCTCTGAATAGTTTTACAGAAGCTAAACTTATTTTATGAACATTATCTTTCGATTTCAAGTGCCTACTTAAAATTATCAAACAATAAAGATATGTCGTTTTTAATAACTTCAATTAATGATTACCGCTAACAATACGGCATAATTTTATAATACACCTACTACAGTCCCAAAAGTCTTCAAAGGTTTATACATCGAAAAAAAAAATAGTTGAACGTTGATGGGATAAACTCAAACTCAAGAAAGAAAACAAAAAACGGCAACAAGTTGACAAAAAACTAGATGAAGTTTAAATTAAAGCAAAAACGGGAAAAAGAAAAGTTTTTTACTTACGTCAAATAATTATCTACTTATTTCTCTTAATGATATTGGTTTGTGGGCAATAATAAATCACACGTTGTTGCAATTCACTTTGTAGGTATTTGCGGCTTTATTTCGCGTAGTAAAACAATACGTCAGTAATAAACTTCGTGGATTACCTACATGTTTATCGCGTGAAAGTTAACGGAGGACTGAATACAAACTGATACAAACGTTTTCGGTTTGGTGCTAATAATACGTGCTGTCGTGTGTCGGTCACTTGATGTCGTGGTATCATAATCAATCCGGCCGTCTGCGAACAGTCGAAGAAGATAATTACTGCTGTTTTTCGACACAGTCTTAACTTTTGTTAACCGTGGTCACACTCCAAGAGTGATGAATCGTCTTCCGAATTCGTCTAACATTGATGCAAGTCATTGTATGGGTTGTCGTCATTCACGTGAACGTATTTTATTTTGTATTAAAATCCTATAATCTACAATGACGACATATCATGCAATGATAGCTAATAAATAAATATATTTAACTAGTTTCTCGATTAGGCTTTGCTTGCAAAAATTAATGGTCATTTTTTACATTAGTTGACATTGGAATTGAGACATGAAATTTAGTCAGGTAGGTAGTACTCACCATTTAGAATCGTGTGGTAGTATTAATTCTATGCGGAAACCAATGTAGCTTGAGATACAGGCTCCTAAAGTTTTCTTAATTGGAGGAAATTCCGGTTGGTACGGCCCTGGCTGCAGCCCTTCGTCAGCTGTTCTCGCCAAGTATGCATTGATGACGTCATTGTTTAGTTAGGTAGATGTATGACAGACTCAAGTTTGTTTAATTCCTGCCTGGCTGATACATTAGAATAATGTTAGGAAGATATGTTTTAGAACAAACGTTCTTTGGTGGGAACAGCTGACGGAAGGCTGAAGTCAGGACCGTACCTACCGGAATTTCCTCAAATTAAGAAAACTTTAAGGGCCTGTATCTCACTCACATTCATTTTTAAACAAATAATAAACAAAATTCTAGTAAATACTACTACACTACTTCACTTGGTGAGTACTACCTACCTGACTAAACTTCATGTCTCAATTCCAATGTCAACTAATGTAAAGAATTACCAAAATTTCTGACCAAAACATCTTTAATATTACGGTCTACTAAATTTAGTACATCCTGTGCGAACGCATATTTTCTGTTTTACATCCATGACTTGACTTGTATAATTTATAGGCATTTTCTTTGACACGACGTTTTCTATAAAATATTAACATTAGCTCAAATTCTGTTTACAAAATTGAGGAAATTATGTAATATTTTACAGTTTATATGCCGGCACTAAGTTTTGTTTTGCTGACAGGTTCCAATTTCTCATAATAAATTATACCTACTCTTTATCCAGAACATATTGCATAAATTAAATCAATTTCATCTTTGCTTGTTTTACAAGTGCGATTACATTACTGAAGTTCATTGTTTTACATTAATCAGGTTTACAGATTTTGGATGATATGTAATTTGAAATAACAACTCATCTAGGTNGGTAATTTTTTACATTAGTTGACATTGGAATTGAGACATGAAGTTTAGTCAGGTAGGTAGTACTCACCAAGTAGAATCGTGTGGTAGCATTAATTCCGTGCGGAAACCAATGTAGCTTGAGATACAGGCTCCTAAAGTTTTCTTAATTGGAGGAAATTCCGGTTGGTACGGCCCTGGCTGCAGCCCTTCGTCAGCTGTTCTCGCCAAGTATGCATTGATGACGTCATTGTTTAGTTAGGTAGATGTATGACAGACTCAAGTTTGTTTAATTCCTGCCTGGCTGATACATTAGAATAATGTTAGGAAGATATGTTTTAGAACAAACGTTCTTTGGTGGGAACAGCTGACGGAAGGCTGAAGTCAGGACCGTACCTACCGGAATTTCCTCAAATTAAGAAAACTTTAAGGGCCTGTATCTCAGTCACATTCATTTTTAAACAAATAATAAACAAAATTCTAGTAAATACTACTACACTACTTTACTTGGTGAGTACTATCTACCTCACTAAACTTCATGTCTCAATTCCAATGTCAACTTATGTAAAAAATTACCAAATTAATATTCTTTCTCCATAAAACCTTTTAACTCCTAATTCACCCCTACAAAGTTTTAATTTTATGTGATGTCGCTAGCTTCAATTCAATTCAATTCAGATTTCAAATGCAAACGTAGCAACAACATTTCATCCTTAAGGGTTGATTTTTAAAAACGCATGGAAACGTTGCAACCTCTTTTCATTTGACTGATTATATCAAAGAGCATAAATATCAAATTTCAAATAAATTCAACAACAAATAAAATATGTCTCAAACAAAAATTGCAACCCCTCCCCTTGGACGTTGAATTTTTTAAAATGCCGAGATAAGCGTTTCACAAATTAAATGAGGGAGTATTAAGACGCAAGTTTCAAGTAAATCTGATCACAAACAGTATATGTCCCATTCAAATATTGAAAGTCCTTTTCCCCCCCCCCCCCCCGACAGAGTTGAATTTTGAAGTTTCAAGTAAATAAAAAAAAAATAATAATCAATGTATGATAAATTATAGCAAACATAAGGTCGTCAGTCCTAAGACTGGTTGGACGTACACCTCCACTTTTTCCTATCCTGAGTCAGAGCCAATCTTTGCATTTCTCCATAAACCTAGAACATCTCACATTCTTAACTATTTGTAAACAGTAATCTAATCCGGTTTCTGTTTCTAATATATCTCTAATTAGTTCGTAATGTCTAAGAAGCCCTACCAATTTATTTCGTCTATTTTTTATTGACTTCCATACAGTCCTTTGTTCTCGCGAGATAAAAATGTTCAGTCTCTCAGAGTCTCTGAAAGCGAGACTGGAGTCTCCGTCTCTCATCGAATCTCTCTGGTGCCGTTGAGAGTGACTGTCGAGAGACTGTAAAAAAAACTGTTTAGCGTCTCTGAACGAGAAACTCGAGTCGCTCATAGAAAGATCCTCATTTCGTATCCAGTCTCTGAACGAGAGACTCGAATTTCTCAATAATTGGTGTCTCGATAGACATGATTAAAATTTCAACATATTTCACAGATCCCAGTCTTTCTACGAGAGACTCGAGTCTCCCAGTTTATCAGTTTTATTCATTCAGTCTCTCTGTGAGAGACTCGAATCTCTGAATTAACAATTTTATCGTTCGAGTCTCTCATATAGAGACTGTGAGAGACGCTCTCAGAGACGCCGAAATACTATGAGAGACTGAAAATTTTTGTCTAGGGACGTTAGATTCTTTCTAATAAGTCTTCATTTCTAATCATCTGTAACTACGGTATTCTCATCATTCGCCTGTAACACGCTTCAAACCTTTTCTTTTCCGCCGCGTCCATCGTCCACGTTTCGAACCTGTACAGCGCCTCGCTCCATTTATATTACACATGTAACAATCTTTTTCGGGTTTGCAAATTAAAACCATTTACGAACATAAAAGTGACTTCTTTTTGTCAACTCTTTCAAATAAGAAAAAATAAAATGGCAAGAACCTTGTGCACTTTATTTATAAAAATAAAAAGAATGTTACAAATCGTCGAAGATGCTTTCAGTTGTTATTCTATTATAAGTTATGTGGGTAGTGTAGAGAATCAAACGATTATTTTGATAAACTGGGAAATCACATTTTCACTAAAGTGACGGCAGCAAATTCTGTAAATATATATTATAGCACAAAAATTATGTCTTTCGTCTGTAATGTACAATAAATAATTTTTGTAAGGTTTGACCAAATTCGTCGTAATTAATGTTGAATTGGTGTTTCCATTTTCCATCATATGACTTTTGCTGTCTTTTAACATCAACATACTGATGTATCTATTGCTATAATCGACTATTCCGGAAATAGCGATTATGTAAACATTCTGATGGGAAAATAATTAGAACATTGAAACGTGAAAGTGTCGTATTCATTAGTATTATCTTCCGAAACAAGGTTACATTTAATAATTAATAAACTATACGTTCGAAGTATACTCATTTGTAATCGAAATATTTTAATGGTTCTATAAACTATGCAGGTAGCTATATTTTTATTCTATGTTTTATAGTTTTTCCATTTAGTAATTAATATTTTTTACTCAGTTTGCTTAGTTTTAAAGGGAAGTAATTAACCATAATAATTCATTACAATTTCTTACACATTAAGGCTATTTGCTAATAATTAGTGCCTTTACTGAGGGCATAATCCAAAATGAAAATTTTTATTGCGAATGAAATTATTATGAAATTCTCAAAATAACAACAAAAAATGAAGGCAAGTACAAATGTTAAATTATTTATTGTGCAATTAATAGTCAGTTTATAATCACTGTATAATATTATGTTTCTAAAGGAAATTTGTTCAACTGAGATAGGGGATGAAAGCACAATTGGAACGTTTAATAAAGGAATGAAATTAAATACAATAATTATTAAGCTAGCTTCAAAATCTAGTTAGAAATGTTGTTAGTTAATTGGAAACAGAGCCAGATCTTAATATGGACTTTTTGGGTTGCAGCTCAGGGTCCTGTGGATATAAAGGGCCCCTAGCCCCCATTGAATACAATGGATAATACATTGTGAATTTAGAAAATGAAAAAATTATCTAAGAACTACAAACAATTACCCTAATTGTTTTTCTATCATTAAAGAAATTTTTTTGACAAAATGGTAATTAATTTGTTTAATTAAGTAAGCTCAAAAGTAGTGGTAGTCCAGGGCCCCTCACATTCACGGTCCTTCCCTAATTAGAACGTTTGATTAAAATTTGCCAATTTTATGGTGTAGGATGTGGTCAAATAGTCGTAGAAGTGGTCGAGAATGTGGTAGTGACTATGGCCAAAAGCTCCTCGATGGAACCACTTAGGTTAAAGTTAATGGGAAGCCCAGATTTAATTGTGTCAAATGGTATTCATTTTGGGCCTACGTTGGATTGGTAATAAGCACCATGCGGCTCACGAGGTGTATGTGACCGTTTGGATTGTTGTGTGTGGTTCTGCCACAAATAATTATCACGTGCGGGCGTTCGCGGTGGTTAGAATCGTAAATAGCATCATAAAATACCGTCTCAAGCATCGCGTTGTCTACATTCTGATGATGAATTGCGACAGCTACCAAGGGGAGAGAAATTGCAAAAGATATGGTGTATCATCATCATCATAAGGTCGTCAGTCCTAAGATTGGTTTCACACGTACCTCCATCCACTCTTTCCTGTCCTGAGCTAAACTTCGCATTTCCCTAAAACAGTAATCTAAAGTAGGT